AAAAAATTGAAGCCTTTTGTTGAAAACTCGTCTTATCAAAATTCTGATCAGAAGTTCTTACTGATTGTTTAAAAGACCTCAACGCATGTTCAATAATCACATGAGAACAGCGAAACGGATATTTCACACCTGCCATATATTCTGAAAGAAAAAATTAAGAATGAATAAAGAGCCAATCAATTGCATTAAAAATCAAAAGTAAAAGGAATCCTTAGATTAGTAAAATGAATTCTTAGATTAAACTTTGCTCGTTACGAAACAAGCGCGCAAAAAAATTTGTCTTCTTATATTTGATAAACACGTCTTTTCCTTTTGCTTGTTACGAGACAAAAACATATAGGAACTTCCTTTTTTGCATTCAATAAACATTTCTGATCTTTTTTATTACAAAATATTTTACTTTAACAAGTTTAAATCAACATGATAAATCAAACTAGGGTTAGCTTTTTGTTTCCACGAATACTCTATAAGTGAATCTTCTTTGATTTGGAAACATTGTTGACTATTTGAAGGCCTTTCCAATCAAAATTTTACAACATTTGAGTAAATTATTTGAATATCTTTTGAATCACTCTATTCAAAAGAAACTGATTTGTTTGTTAACATGTCTGTGGCTATTTGCGATTTTCTGTTTGATTTCAACATCCATCGTGATATAAATTTTTTGTTTGATCAGTGTGTGTGATTAAAGGCTTAGTTTTCAGTTGAAAATCTTTTGAAAGATCACATCGGTATGTTCTGTATCTAGTTTCTTAGTATAGCTATTTTCCCCAACTCGTCAACCATCTTTCTGTTGCATTTCAACCTTACTTAAAACATCCATTGCTTCAAATTCGAAATATCCTTGTATCAAACTCGAAATCTCCAAGACAGAAATATCCTTAAAAGTCTTAGCTGTAGAATCTCTGTTTATTTAATAATGGTCATTTCAACTGGGTTGTTTCAACCTGAATGCTCCTTTTTCGATTCACGGCTAGGCCACAAATGCCTGAATACAAAAAACTAGTTACTGTGGTTGTATAATCTGTTTTCATAGTGGACCACAACAAGCGCTTTGTTATACAAATAAGAAAAAGCAGAGGCTTGCAAATGGAAATAGAAACAACTAGGCGGTGGGAGATAACGATATGAATTTATGACTTACACAATCTTTTACACAGACGGAGCGAAACAGACAAAATATCTTCCTCTTGCTACGTTTAGTCCTGGATTTGATAGATACCTGGATGAAATTGGATGAATACCTCGAGATTGATATCATTAGGTCTACATTATTAGCTACATGGCGAAATTCAATTGAATATGTAAGCTGCATGTGGTGCTTCATCCAAATTAGCGATAATATAGTTAGCAAATAAATTGAGTACCAGAATCAAAATAGAATAGTTTCAATGTTGAAACTAATTGTTATTTTTTGTTTTTTTTTAACATTCAAACTATTCTATTTTCATTCTAGTACTCAATTTATTTGCTAATCGTATTATCGTTAGTTGTAGGGCGGTATTGATACTTTACAGCACTGTCACTAGGATACAAATACGATACGAATGCTTAAACTTTTTTATGTACCTAAAAACATTTTAATTGCAAGAAAATTATAATCATATTTGAGCCATTTTTACCAAGATTAGGAGAGTAGGAAGTTTTGCAACGGTGAAAATGGAAACCCAGTTGTGGATTGATTTTAGCTGATAGTTCATTTAGTCAGCTTAGCAAGATAGTTGAAAATTTAGTTCAAGTCTGGCTGCTTTTGTTTAAACTTAGAAGCCATAGCTGTTCGTCATGGAAATTGTTTTCGTGATCTCTAGATGTCCCAAAATTTTTATCCTGCTGGCTAATTTGTATATCAAACAATTTTGTTTAAAGTTGGTATATAAATAGTATGCGGTAGCAAAAGGATGAGAACACCGTCAGGTAGAATTAGATGAAAGGCAGAAATAATGTGATAATGAAGAGAAAAGAGACACTTTGAAAGAAATCAGGTCTAAGCTTACGAATCATTTGAATGTCGTTTTCACCTGAAGGACGATATCAAGATTCTTGAATCAGAACCTAGGCGTTGCTATGTTACGCTTCATAAGGAGCCATTTGTTCATGCGGCCTCATTTCATACAGTCATATTTGTAATATCCACTGATTGAATCAAATCAAATTCTTTTCATTCAACAACAAATTTTACTACAGTTTTTAAAAGTATACGAAAATAACTAACAATTATAAAGTTTATTGTAGGGATACAATTTTCATTAAATGTTGCCAAAGACATTGAGACAAACCCAGAGGTTTTCTGGCCCAGTGTTCTTTTATTGAATAGTTAATACAATGAATACATGAAATTAACGTTAAATGTGATGTATGCTTGTAAATGAAAAATATCAAGACTACGAGCTAAATTCTATAAAGTTTTATTTAAAGTTTTTTAAACAGAAAGAGAACAAAAAGAAGAAAGTAAAATGAAAAGAAAATAAGAAAAAGGGAAATGGGAGGGCACGGTCGTTTGATGATGGGATTGATTGGTAAATGTATTAGGGGAGGGGTAAGAATTTTTTAGTCATTATGGAATGTTATTTTTGAATTTTCTGATAGTGTTGCAGTAACCATAGAGAGTTTCATTAAATAGTTTTCTTATGATATGGAGCAAATTTATAGTAGGATTTGATTCCATATTTTGATGTCATTAAAGGTAATAAATTTTTTTTGACATTCTGTTGTCACCATGGGAAGAGAGAATTGATTTGTGGTGGCTTGACGAGTTTTGTAGTTGTGTCTTATCTTTGCTTTTTAAGAAGGTTGCATTTAGTTGAGATTATATTGTTGCTATTTTTATGATTGTTCAGAAATTGATTTTGAAGAAGCATATCGCGAAAAGTTAATCAACTTGTTTTTTCACTGATCATCTATTCAAAGTTTCAAAGAACAATATAGTCTAGTGCTTTTGTATACATATATATAAACATAGATTTATGTAGATATTGCGCAAAAAGCAGTTGATAGATATTTGGAATTTAGATTTAATCGCAGAAATAACACATTTTTGATACCGGTTTTACATGACCGTGTACAATCTTCAGCCAATTTGAATTAGAGCTTTCTAGTTCAGAATAAAATTCTTGAACAGAACAGAATTGATTCAAATATTCTAGACAAGAATATTTTAATGCAAATTGGCTGAAGATTCTGCACGATCAGATAAAAACGGTACCAAAAATGTGTTATTTCTGCAATTAAATCTAAATTGCAAGCATATAAACATATATATATATATTTATACCCCCAGCTTGACATTTCGAGAATTTCAATCATTTTTTTTACGTCTTATACTCTGAAAAGTGTTCTCCGATAAAAAGCCTTAGTATGTCTTAAAATGTTGGCCTTTTTCAAAGCCATTATCATAATAATACATTTCTATGTGTTGTTGAAGAACCAAATAAGTAACTCTTATCATACAAGCGAAACTCTTTCTAGTATTAATCCGCATATAAGACGGCACGAAGTTTTTCGTTTTCTTTAAAGAGACGTTCCCTGACATTCTAGTATGCAAAGTTGCAAATGTTGCATTACACGAAACATCTCTCTGCGTTGGAATGGAGACTTGGCTTACTATCTCTAGATATTAGGCAACTTGTTTCATCCAAAAAAAACTTATATAAATCTTTGAGCAGATTTTAAAGGACAGTATGAAAATTTCCTTTACTAGCTTTTTATGTTTTTAGCAATGGCGTAGCATGTTTTGTTGAAGTGGCCATGAGAAGTATTGCGAAGCCAGGGTCTATTGTTCTCAAAGGAAAGTGATAATTAGGAACAGGGGTACGAAGTTTAATGAATTGCTTTTAGGGTAAAAACTGGGGCAAATCAAGAGTAAGGCAAAGTAATATTTTAAACGAACATTTAAAGTAAGAATTACTGTGAGATTGACTGGTTTTTTAAAAGATAATTTGAAAAGTATTTTTGGCCGAATTTTACAGGGCACGTGGCGAATTAAGGGGTTATTCGAGGTGAAAATGATTAATTTTTGGTCTTTCTATTGTTTGATCGAAGCTTTCATTGCAGTATACCCAGCGAGAGTTCTTTAAAAATGAATGATAAGATATCTCGTTATTTGTTGGATATTAAATTTTTGTGGCGGACCTTTCATATGAGCTCCCTTTACCAGCAATACTTTGACTTCATTGACAATTCCTTTAGCGAATGACATACACTCAAAAAGCAATTTGTACATTTTTCCCTAAGCCATTCGCATTGCTAAGTGCAAAGGCATAGCTGCTGGAAAGGTAAAGGAATTCGAACAAAAGAATAATTGGAAGATTTCGATGCATATTCATTCAGCCATTTTGAAAATCAAAAACAAGGTCGCGACTGTGCATAACTCTTAAAAACCAAAAATCTAACGCTAAAATCTTTTACTAGAAAACTTTCTATATAATTGGTGTTTCCATTCATGAACTTATATGTGTAGGCAATGGATTATTTGAAAATCATTCAGGAAAAAACGATATCTTTGGCTGCAACGTGCTTCTTTAAACTTTAACGTATTGATTTGATTCAAATCAAAGACAAAAACACAGGGATTTTCATTAAGAACTTTGAAAGATATTGAAAGATCCTTAATCGAACAGAAATTGATGATCGAAGTTAGCTACCTGCAAATTTTGTTTTCACTAACCTTCTCATTATAAATTCTTCGTTATTCAAAAAGAAGATGAGTTACGAATACAATTGTTCAGTTCGTCTTGTTAGCTGTCAATCAAAATCGAGACAGCAAAATAGACCTTGACAATGCCTATTGTTTTTCGATTTATTAACAAAACATCCGGCGACAGCAAAGAATTACGGGTTTGAAAACTCGATAAAAAGGTCAGCTTGGCAAAACCTTCAGGACTTGAGGTTAAATATACATACACCTTCGAGGCTTCACTGAAAAAAATATTAGTTCAATCACTTTGATAAAAGGAAAACAACGTTTTTCAAGTTTTAACTAACCTTGAACTGCCTTTTTCTAGCGGTTCCTGACGCTTGGTCAATGAGATACTTTTGGTGAAACTCCTTAAGCCACATTGACATCAATGAATTGATATTCGAGTAGCTTTTGAAGAAAAGATACTTTATGGTTCTAAAGGTACATCGGGGAAACATTGGGAAGCAGGAATGCACCAATTGACAGCCAATTAGAGGATCCTGCAATACAACATTCGAATCGGAAGATATCGTTCATTCTCTGATCGTCACTTTTGCACCAACGATGGTTTGGAGCGATTTTCTAAAATGGGTCAGAAGAGAGAGAAGTTCAACGGATGAATATGCATATGAGTCGCTTCCTGATAACAAGTTGACAGTTGAGGAAATTCTTGAGCTAGCAGGTTTTGGAAAATTCCAATTTAAATTATTATTCATAGTAGGAATCCGAGTTTTCGCTCATGGCTGTAGCTTTGCACTGATGACTGTCGTGAGTACATCCATGCAATGCGAGTGGAGTTTGTCGAATTTCGAAAAAGCACTAATAACGGCATCGTTTTTTGCTGGCTTTGCTTTGGGCAGTTTTGCTGGTGGCATCTTTGCCGATAAATACGGCAGACTTAAAACAATGTTGCTAGCTTACTCACTGAGTGCGTTCTATTCAACTCTTAGTTCTTTATCGCCGTCATTTTTCTGGATGTTGGCATTGCGTTTCATGTTTGGCATTTATGTCGGTGGAGTATCACTCGGATACTTGTTTCTGATCGAATTCATGCCAAAGAGGTATCGTCGATGCGTGACCAGCATGGACCTCTTCTTTGGATTCGGAATCGTTTGCATCGCCTTGCAAGGTGCTACTATTCTACATGACATCAACTGGAGGTATTTTATTGTCATTGCTGAAGCATTGCCTCTCCTTTTGGCATCGATGTGTGCATTACTTGTACCTGAATCCCCGAGGTATTTGATTTCTGTAGGCAGAACTGCTGAAGCCGAAAAGATTTTCAATCAAATTCTACGAGAGAATCGCTCTCAGTGCAAAGGGGTCAAGCTCAAACAAGCCAGCTTCGTTCGTTCTTCTGAAGAAAATGGTCGACTGTGTGCGCTGTTCTCAGGCAGATATCTCCTGTATACTGCTTGTTTCGCATTCATATGGTTCTCCGTCTCAATGGGTCAAGTTGGCACGCTTTATTTGACAACCGAGTATTATCACATCCCCAGTGGCATGTGCGCGAAAACCCAGGATAGCCCCGGTCAACTGGAGGATCCAATCGCTTGTTTATATTGCAAAACATTGTCTTGGACCGACTATATGAATCTTATGGTTACTGGCCTCGGAGGAATTCCTGCATTTATAATTTCCTACATCACTATGGAGAAAGTCGGACGGAGGCTCACTGTTAGAGGGCTGCTGTTATTGATTCTAGTGATGTCAAGCATTTTAGTTTTCTGTTTGCCTCATTGGGCGTTAGTTATAAGTTTCGTAGTTGCCTATACAAGTGGCTATACATGTCACCTTGTATTGCAAGTATATGTATCTGAGGTTTACCCCACTTACTTTAGGGGTGTGGCAAACGGCTTCATAAAAATCTTCAGCAGGTCTGGTCATATCGTAGGAGCCTTTTATGCGCAGTATTTTATGAAAATGAACTTCATTATTTCGTTAAGCACCTTTTGTAGCTTGACTTTCATAGCTTGCTTGTTAACTTTCGTAATAACACAAGAGACGAACGGCAAGGATCTGAATGACACGGATGAAGCATGCATGGATGAAGGAGAAGAAATGCATTTAGTGACAGAAGATGAAGATCAGGAGAGTGGATAGTCTATGAAACATGTAGATTTTTAGATTGGTTTAAGCTATTGTGAATTTGTAAATCATTAGAATTGGTAGCAAGATTAATCATTATCTTCTTTAAGTATATAAGAAGGCTTTCAGGTACTAGTAGAATTGCTTTAGGTGCATATTAATTAGAAAACACATAGAAGCTTAAATTTTTCTTTATATAATGGGAAATTTTTGATTTTAAAGGCCCTGTTGGAAACTCGCAGGTTAGGAGATCAATAAGAAACAAGAGGATTCTTTGGATGGCAATTATGAGGATTAGCTTCCTAATCTTCATGCAAAGAAGAAGAAGGGCCGAGCACGTGCTTGCACTGAGCGGCTTGCAATCAGGTATTAATCCGAACGAAAAGTTCAAAAAACGAAAAAATTACAGGGACGTAAATTGACAGTTTGTTTTGGAGGGTAAGGGTACGAAATTTCCCACTTACAATAAGCCAATTGAAATTTTGTACTTAAATTGCACTATGCCTTTACTTAAAGAACCTCAAAGAAATACTTGTCGGTCATTTCCTTTCTGAATTGAGAACATTTGCAGCATTAGCATTATTTACATTTTCGACAAAAAAAGCATTTGGAATTTCGACTTAGATTTTCTGATTACTCTCAATTTTCGGACTTATTCAAAGAAACTCAAAGGTTGGGATGGTGTGACACCCTCACGCCACCCTGGCATTTACGAAAACTGAAAATTTCCATCTTTTGATGAAGTTGATGTTTCGCATAGAGTTGGATTCTATCAATGAACAGAAAAAGACGGGTGACCTTCCGAACAAGTAACTCATAAAGCTTGACATGAAACAAGAAAGTATCGATTTGACATCATGTAGAATTCAACTTTTATTTATCTTAATTGAATAACCGTCTCACATGTCCTTTTTTGCAAAGCTGAATTATGCAACTTGATATTATGTTCTTAATCGAATAAAGACGCAGAAATATCTGGTTTCAATTTCTCAATTCTAGTCTTCTTCAGCTGTCCGCGCTTCACGTTGCAGTCTGACGAGAACGCAGTTTAAAGCGAAATTGAAATTGAAGAAACAAAATGCTCCTTGAAATTTGAGTATAGGCATTTGGCTTTAAATGTAATTGAGGAAAATAGAAACAGGAAGTACAATGATTCCATCTGTTCTTCTATGATCATTAGCAAAATAAGAACTTGAAAGTTCTTCATTAAGAAAACAAGACAGATAGACATGTCGTTTGCTTGAAACATGGTATGAATGTCATAGAAAAAGATTCATATTTTAAGACTTTGTTGGTAAAAGAAGGCCGTTGTCTCTATATAGGAGAAAAGCATTCCTACCATTCTATTGCGTCATTGACAGAGACAATAGCCTGATTTCTACTCTTATAGAAAATCAATGTCGAAGTCGTAACAACGAAAAAAGTACAGACAACAATCTGATTTGTTACTGCAAAATTTACACAGTAAACAGAATAGGTAAAAATTGCCATTTGCTGGGATACTAAGTTGAAACATGTACGCCGATTAGCAATTTCTAATTCTGTTTGTCATCTTGTGAGCCGTCAACTTTTTCCGTGATACTCAGAGTGAATTCAAATCTGATTACAAAACTTTCATTTTGCCTTATCAAATTTTTACTTAAAACTTCCCTTTGAGATTTAAAAGCCTGTAAGTCAAGTGGCTGTTTTTGTCAATATTTGATTGCAGTAACAATTCGTTTGCTACATCATATCAAAAAATATAAAACACAGAACGACTATAAATTTGTGTGCATCTATGAGTGGTTTTAAGAATAACAAAAGTGCAAAATATAGGCTATATTTAGGCAGCGCAAAACAATATCTCTCTGAAAAAGTTAATGAAATAGGATGTTACGCCACAAGTATGACTTTCAGCACAACAGCTAACACAGTAAACTATACGTTCTACTGTGTCAAATTGATGGTGATAAGCAAGTCTTTCAAGAAACTTTAGAGCATCAAGGCTACGTTCACACTGTTCTATAATCGATTCTCTACGTTTCTGTTGACGAAAGTGATGTCCATCATACTAATCCATTTCGAAATGACCACGTTTTGATTAAGGTAACTGGTAAATGTTCACACTACTCCAATTAAAAAAACATTCGATAAAAAGCCTCATTTTTAAACAAATGCTAAGGCAGTATTTCTAGACAGAAATTCCGCCAAACTCCACCGTCATCTGAATCGTCAATGAAATTTTGCAAAAGCGACAGTCTATTACGAAATCTTCATCTTCAAATGTCTGGTGCACCAGAAAGCACATTTAGAATATTTTGTGAGCATAATCAAGTTTCTACGTTTTTGGTGTTCACGCAACAAAATAGAGTGTATAAAAACACAGCAAATTCCAAAGTATCCGTATTCATTGCAGAGCAGTGTGAGCTCAAGGCAAAAACAGAGAGATTTTTTTCGGTTAACGGAGTAGTGTGAACAGGGCCTAAGTAATTCAAGGTGAAGGACGCAAAACTCCGACTTTGAGCTGTCTGTAAATGGAAAACCAAAAACCTCATAAAAAACCAAACTAGAAGCTGGTCTGTGTACATATGTCTCACATCAAACGGAACTTTTGATCAAAACATCATGGTTGACCTACTATGACCGTAATTATGGCTGGCAAACTAGTGTTGCAATGACACTAAAAATACGCTTAGACTTACTGTGAATACATAAGTAAGAAAAATATCCAAAACTTTGTCCTAAGCTTCTAGAGCCTTGAAAAGCTACGAATCTTGCATGCATTTCTCCTCATTAGATCGATGTTTTCTTCTCTTGAAGAAATTTCTAACGTTACACTGCTTTTCCTCCATTCATTGTCAACAAGCTTCTTTTTCTACCCCTCATTTCTACGCCACTCAACAAAGCCCTCACGAATATAACAAGAGAAGAAACACTTTGATAAAGCGAGGTGATGACACATAAATCAAAGAACATACGTGCTATAAACAGCATATTTTAGACTATGTCATGCATGTCCTAAAAGTGTCAATATATATATATATATGAGGCATAGCACGTTCGTACAGCTGTCTCAGCGTACAATTTTAGACACACTCAAAAGGGATACGTAAGTTTCGTATGATATTTAACAAACATAAACCCTCCAAATACGAATAGATCGAAAGATGGTAAAGATAACAAAGCGAAGAACAGTCGGGTTCTAAACAGGTGGAAAAGTGCATGGAAATCGATTTAGGATGCCTTGCGTCTTTTGAAAACGACAGGTGTAGTGTTGGTTTATATGATTACCCGCTTCAACGATGATTATAAAATTAAGAAATTTGATTTAAGGCCATTCCAATCAAATGACAACAAAAATGCTCTTTGAATTCTTTTTCCTTTATCTACCTGAGCTCTGAAGTTTAATTACAAAGATTCCGCGTATTTAGAGGCAGTCCTGACGGATTAATTCTCGTATCTTGTGCATTGTGGAATACTAGAATTTCTAATTTACCACGCCCAACACCAACGCTAATTTCAGCCTTACTAAACAGTATTCTGAAACTGCTTTTTCTCTAGATTGAAAATAAAGTTATAATCAAGTAATGTGACAAAATACCAGCGTAAAAATTGTTCATCTTTCTCAAGCCAAAGTGGCTTATATCTGAAAAACTCTTCAGACAAAAATTAAGGGGTGTGGTTCGGGTTCGGTCGTTGAATTGTTTTCACAATGAGCTTATGAAAAGTAGTTTTATCATTTTTGACTCTGAGAGGGAAATTTATGATACAAAAAAATCTGAATAAAAAGTGCGAGATTGAACAATACAAAACCATTTTTTGTCTGAAAATTAAGAACTCTGCTAGAAGTGTTCGGTAATAAACAACTAGGAATAAAGAGGTTTTACTTATTGCTTCAGTGTCGAAACTTTATATTGTCGTCAAATATCTTTAACCCCTTTTTGACTTTTTAACAGGAAATTCAATAGGCCGGGACGTTAACTATACATGAGTTTTAACAGATAAAGTATTGCATTAAGGCTAGTTTAAAATTTGATTACCAAAAAAAGTTAATGGCACAAGGTCATGTCAGTATATTGTTCCCGTCACCTATATGTAATATGGCAGGTCCAGGCGCTGATTGGAACATTAACAATAGCCTATTGTTTAACTCATCCAATGAGAATTTAAGTGAACATCGAAATTCATCGGAACATAATGTCTTTGATTAAATGAAATAAATTAACTATCCGGGACTGCTAAGCAAATGTGTTTGACAAGAATTCAAATGGCTTAAAAGGACGACATAGAATTTTACTCAGACGAAAACACAGTAACATGACATTACATTTATTATATAAAAGTAAGATATGGCTTCAAATTATTGTCAATATAGAACTATTGCTACTCCTAGGGAATTAAGACTTTTACCAGGAGACGTAGGCAGTAGTTTTGAAGGAACAAGTGAAAATTTGCTATGTTAATCTGAATTAATCACCCCTTTTTCCACAGCAAATATCTGCATTCTCAGTGGCTGAAAGAAGAGGGTGAAATTTCTGTAAATGAGGCAACCCCCTTCTTATGATGAAGAGATCATAATCGCTCAATCAATCTTTTTCCCCAAGAAGGGGGACGACTCACATCTTAGAAGAATTTTCGTCCCCTGTTGATGCAGACGAGCTTCAACAGATTGCAGGTAATTTCAGATAAAAAAACAAATTTTAACTAAAACCACAGGAATCTTGATGAGCATAGCATACGCCCTTAAACAGATGCACAACAACGGGTCTTGAATCTCTCTATTCTGTGCTTGAATGTTGACGGAAGCATCAGATCGCGTCACCGATTCGCATTGAACATCTGCACTCTACAATCTCTACGATGTCTTTTCTTTTCAAGTTAAACCGTTGTTTGCTCGTGACTGAATACATTCTGGAAAGGGAGATGCGACATCTTTCGAAAGAAAGATACGCTTTATAGAAGTGCTCTCCAGCTGTGTTTATCGACATGATGATTCAAGTAACAAACAGAGCAGGCTTCTAAATGAAACTGCACTAAGCCCATTCAGATTTTATTGACATTTAAATTTTCTTTTCTAAGAGGTAAGAATCTGTTACCTCGATGAATTAAAAATTTTTCTTCTGATATCAAATATTCTTCGGCATACAGAGGATCTTGCCGGTTGTCACAACAGTATGGCGGATACCAAACGATGATTCAAATCCACACTTTTGATGATTGGAAACACAGCTCGACCTTCATTTTGTAAACAAATTAAATTTAAGTAGCTTTCCGATGTTTCTTTTTATCAGATCGATATTTCTTGTTCTCCAGACGCCTCTCGTTTTCCCGTTCCAAACTGCAACAAAAAGTAGAAAGACAGTAAGATAGCCTCTGAAATTTCAGGAGCGTTTATAGCCGTCGGTGCAAAATTATGAAACAATTATGAAAACGGAAAGAATCAGTGCTTTAATGTTTCCGCTACGCGTTACACGTTAGTCTACTAGATCATCACACACTTTTTTATAAGAATACCTAACTTTTGCCGAGCCTTGATATTCTTAAAACATTTCGATTCTGAGTCTAAGATTATTCCAAAATTATTCTCGCCCGACACAACGTGTAAATTCGCCTTAAGATCAATGAAAAAAATTCAAATATTCTTTAATGTTTTGCTTCGTCACAAACTTGAACAAGAACAGAACAGAACATTGAATGTGGTATCTGAATACAAAATCTAGCCACTGAGCAAGACTACAGAGTTAATTACTCACAAAGAGATGAGTTTATACCGTGGGTACCAGAGCTTTAGTGAACGAGATGGCCAAACAGTGGTTCACTACCCACTCTTTCACCAAGGCTCTGGCACCCAGGGTGATCACTGTTCTTCAAATCATCTATATAGCGTGGAAGTGACAGTCGTTTTGCTTTGTGAGAAAACTAAGATAAACAAAAACTTAAGTCTTGATGAAGCTTTAGCCTGGCATTATTCTTAAAATATTCTTAAATTTTAGCGAATTTGAGCATTGATATTCTTAAAGACAATATTCTTATAGAAAAATGTGTGTATGCCACTTTCATATGCCTAAGATGGCATATTGGTGCTACGATATACATTTGTAATGCAAAAAAGAATAGAATTTAAAAACGTGGAAGTAGATCAGAAGAAATAAGAGAAACGCCGTCATTTGAATACAAATTGCCAAACTGACCAACGTTTTCTTTATATATTTAATATAATCTAACATAATATAACACATTAATGCAGAGAGGAAGTACAGACCCTACGCAATAACTTTCTTAAAATGTCCAGTTAAGGTAGCATAAAAAGTAGTAGCTCCTGGGAAATGAGCTGGTAAAAAAGTAGTCAGCGACGACCTCCTCAATAATCCTAATTTATGTCGACATCCTGACTTATCTGTACTCATCTTTCCGTTTCTCTCCACCCGCTCCCCTGCGCCAAAAACTGCCTTACTTGTCACTTTAAACTAATCGCCAAAACTTGTTGGTAAAGGAGAATCATATAACAACTTTTCAAAAAGTTGATCTGAATATGACCTTTGCTTGAAAAAAGAATACAGAAAGGAGAAATCTACCTCTCCAGTATCTTTTTGACGGTATCTTCCGTTGGGCCTTCAGGTACATAACTTGCAGCTTCTATCATTTCTCTAAGTTTTTCAATCGCATCTTTAAGATTCCGAGATTGCGATCGATATTTGTCAGAGAAAACAATGATCTCTCCATCTTTGTTCATTCTGTTCTTTTGCTAGAAGTAAACAAATGCGAGTCAAATAATGGAAGTAAACCATAGAAAAATTCGTAGGTAGCTTTCTTACTACTGTGAAAGTAGGCGATTCAAACGTATAGAAAGACGAATGCAAATAAAAATTATCAACACATTTAAGAGGTTCAAAAAACCTTATGTCACATTAGAAAAAGACCAGGCTGATAATGAAAGTTTGCAAAGGACCAATCTGAACGATCAGAAGATCCACTTCTAATTCTCCCTAAAGGCAGCATATTGCTGCACTGAAAAACGGCCACCAACCTGAAGGCCTAGCCGTAACGTACTTCTGTAGCGCAGTAAATGTCAACAAGGAAGAGTGAGTAAAGTGACCTTAAAGTAATTTTTTACACGGCAACTTTTCAAACAGTTAGCTTTAACCAAGATACCATTGAATCATAGAGCTAAACTGGAGCATAGAAAAGCAAAGCTGATATAGTTTAAGACATAGGGACAAAGAGAGCGCATTTTACAGACTATTAGCAGACAATAAGAAAATACATGGTCAAAACAGTTGCAAGTTGCAGAGATCGTAGAAACCCAAACGCAATTAAAATTTATACTATCAGGCATCATTATACTATCAACGTTTAACCGTTGGCCATTTTCCATGCTTTTTGACATTGCCAAAAAGCTACACTCTAAGAACGATTTAAAGATCTGGATAAATGGTCACGTGATACACGTTTGTGAGTGGTTACAAGTGTCTTGGAGTGCTTTTGGACACCAGCCTGAATGTGAAAGATAACGAGTGCTGTAGCACGAATTGCTGCTGTAGCATGAGACAGTCGCAGCTGAATGCATATTGTGTTGCTTAAAATGATGCATTGCTCTACACCGATGCTAAATATTTCTGACATAATTGTCAAGAGATTTGAAAATCTTCAAAAAGAGCCTTGAAAATCACTCATCGACATCATGAGTTCGATCAAGAAAGTGGATTGATGACCATATTAAACCACAAGAGGTTTAAGGCAGATTTTTTTATGTTTAGGTGTCTGCAACAAACTGTAAACCAAAATTTGCATCCTGTGGTGAAGTAGTTAGCCACAATGACGATATTTGTATTCCAAGGGTCAGGACAGAAAACGGAAAAACGTCCTTCTAGTTCCAAGGCTCATTTTTTTTAAAACAAAATACCAGTTGGCATTCGAAGTTTAAACTCCATTGTTGTTTTTAGGCATCGATTTAAAAAACATCTGCAATGATTCTAGCTGTTTTTTTACCTATTTCAAAATTATAAATATAAAAAAACGAAGGACAATTCAGGCCTTTTACTCTGCAAGTTTCAATTTTAACTTTAAACAAGGCCCTTATTGATAACAGTACTTGTAGTACTGACAACGTTTACCCTGTATAAATATTTCTCTCATTATAATAATTATAACTCAAATTCTGCCGATGTTGCTTGTAAGTCTAAAAATTGTCGCCAGGAAGTGTCTCCAAAAATATAGGCACTTAAAATCATTCAACAAGGCGTTTAAACAGTAAAGTTTGGTAATTTTACAACGGAACATAAAGCTCTTGAGAAGTTCTGTTTCTCATAATAACAAGCTGATTTAGAAAAAAGACTTACAGACACTTTAAATGTCTGAAACAAGTTTTTAGAACATGCATAACAACTAGCCAAGAAATCTAAGGATATAAAAAAAATATATTGCAAAATGAAGTTAGTAAAATTCAGCAGCCTTTAAGGCCTAACACTAAGAAAAGACCTCAGGAAAGAGAACCAAAGCTTCGGAGAGGTAAGAAACGGTCAACGCAAACAACAACAACAAAAACAAAAACAAAAACAACAACTGTCATTTTACGTTACACAAAATATCGTAATTCTTGCAAAACAATAAAGGACAAAGGCAAGTTTATAATAAAACGTTTCTTTGTCCCGACAAACAAAAACCAACCAACATTGCCACAGCCCGATGTTTCGACTGCTTCATAATTCGATACATCGAAAAAAGTTACCCAATTCACAGTTCTCTCTGCCTAGGCCAGTTTTGATTATTCTGATTTCTGACAATACTATGTCTTTCTTGCAATGTTAAAATATTTCAAAATTGAATGTATGTTCTGAAATGAAACGAATCAAGTCATTAAAGGCGAGAAGAATCAATGAATTTGTTCCAAAACCAGCTGCTCCTACAGAAAGATCCTTCAAGATAAGATGGTCTGGATTTTTTGGCTATCAGCCAGAAAATCCTTTGATTCCCCTCCGAAGACGATTCTACCACAATTCTGACATCATTGAAGAGGCGTAAGATGTTCTTTAACAAAAGCCTTTTAATATCATTTTGAAGTGGCCTTCAAAACTATCATCGTTTATGCTCTTATACCCATCAGTACAAATAATGTGTTTTCCGTCGATCTTATGATCGTTTACAAGGAGCCGCAGTTTCTTATCAACGTTGAAACAAAATGGAATACGGCTCAGTCGACGTAGAAAATTTCGAATAAATCTTACGATGTTTTTGCCCTGCTATTTATTGTGATTGTGTGAATCCATTGGCTTTTCACTGGATGCTCCATTGAAAATATTACTCCATTTCAAAATTACCGTTTCAAAAATTTCAATTCGTATATAGGAGTTTTATTTGAGTCAAACTTTGGGCTCTAGGTCCTTGTTCGACATACGTCACCAGATCAAATAAAACAATCGAAAACATATCTTTCCTACAATCAACTCACATATTTACAGAATCGTGACGTTATTGTATTAGCTTCAGTTTTTCCTTTCTTTCCTAGCAAATACATCATTTTCCGTCACCTACCTCAAGCCCAGAGATTTCATAAATTTTTCACATCGGTAGCTTACACATAGTCTATTGATTGAATTAATTTTATACACAAAAGCTTTATTTTTGGTTGCGATTTCCAATCAATCAATTGAAATCTGTATGTTTGCTAAAGTATCTCTCTTCCGGCGGTATATTCCAAGGCTCATTAAAGCAGCAACAGGGAAGAAGCCTTGATTCATAGAACTGGAATCAGAACAGTACTGTGCCAAAATTTACAATCAGGTGTTCTAAGAAAATTTCTTCGATTTTCTTTACATCAGCAACTTAAGGCTTTGCTTTACTAACTCTTGATCAAACAAGGCTTCATATCACAGAATCCCAAGATGATACTAAAAAAATTGGGAAAAATTTGCAGAATACAGAAATTACGAAAAGCTTTTTCGCAAATTCCTGCTTTTGCGTGCAGCTATAAATATCAATGGCATTGGAAGAGCAGCCCCTTTCACAAACTAAATATTCACACAAAAATAGCATGTGAATAATGAATCAACAGGGGATTGCATTAATAAATAATATGTTTACTAAACAGTTTTAATTTGATTATAAAGAGGTCAATACCTGTTGTGCAAGTTTTTCCTTCACATCTTCTGATATCCATTCTGTGTTGGCTAGTTTCAATCTGATTTCTGCTTTAGTATTAACTAGAAGGGAAAACACACATCTTTAATATGTTTTAAACTACTCGCATATAAGTAAAAGGTCAATAAGGAAGGAATGGATGAAGGAATGGTTGTCTATCAGCCCGGGCAGGCTACTCTCATTGCCTAACAGGGGGGTCCAGTCAGGTTCAATGAGGGTCAAAGCTAAAATGTTAATGTCAAATCGTAGTGTTTTTGACAATAACCTCCAAATGGTAGCATAAGGACGGAAATTATGTCATTGGTAGCACCAATTTCTTTGTGCGCACCTGGTTCTTCTTTGAAAAATTTCTTCACCATTGACTGTTGTTGATTAGGGAAAGATAAAACCTTGCTCATTGTCTCATTGTCTGTAATAAATCGCAAGCTAAACTAAGCAGTTTTATCTATGACCATGACAACAAACCAAAACTCAGATTTTGGGATAGTTGGAGGGTCATGGTAGCCAACCTTCTGATAGAAGATGGTACCTGATGATGATGAAACTAAGACAGCCTTTCCACTTGCCTGGGTTAAAACAAAAACGGGTTAAAAGTTATCCGTTTCTGCGTCGCGTTCCCACTAACCCACTTGAAAAACGAATAAGTTTAAAAACGGGTCTCAGAGTGGGTCAGTTTTAACCCGGGTATTTTTTACCCACCTGCGAGTTAATGGAAACGCCGAAACCCGGATAACTTCTGACCCACGTGCAACAACAGCAACGTTTAAGAATTGAGATGGCGCCGAAAAGCAAAAAACAAAATCCTCGATGTCGATTTTGCATCCGTTGGCCTACAACGATGGAAATTGAAGGATTATTGATGCAAATACTGATTTCTCTTACAATTCTGCATACGTTTTCGAATATTTCACCCTGAACCCGGCTTAGTGGGAACGATCAAAAATGGATTAAAAACGTGTCAAAGAAAAATGCTGTTTCCATTGACTCGCTTTAAAAACGGATAACTCGGTTTTGTTTTAACCCGGGCTAGTGGAAAGGCTGCCTAAGCCATTTGATAAGACCCAGTTTCGATAAAAACACAACGGCTTAGTTTAGCTCGCGATCGGAGATGATGATGCCAGCACCTTGCGCTAATTATCTTGCATGATTGCAATTTAAACACCTGCCAATTTTAAACTGGAGTCATCAATATAATTCCATAACGAAAATATGTATCACAACTCAAGCCTCAAGTGCAGAAATCAAGAGATGGTATTATTTCCTCTGGTATATTTCTTCCAAAGATCAAGATAAAAACAAAAACTTCCCCAAGCAGCACTGTAAATGCAGTTGATGAAGAGAGGTGAAACAAAAACTTCCAAAAGTTGTTTCACTTTCTTCAATATTTCGGCATTTGCCCTAGCAAAAAGTAATAACCCTAAATATGTTTAACTTTCTATTGACAGCTCATGTACAAGCTCTATAGCCAAGGGCTTCGTTAACAACCGGTTCAACTTTGTTTAAACCTATTGCTATCGTGATGTCAAACATCTAAAAAACATGTATACTTCTAAACAAGATCTCCATCATAAAAAAAACTGCAGCAAATCTTTCCGTCAATTGATAATGGCTTCCTATATTTCGATTGTCCTAACTGAAGTTGCAAAGCATTAAGAAGATTCGGGATTGTTTCATGCATAAGAAATAAGATTATTCAAATTGTATTTGGGGGTGGAAATAATCTTGTCATAAGTCTTATTTAAATTTAACTGAAACAAAAATCTTAATCAACAGAAATGTGTAAATACCACCTCATTGAATTTACCTTTGTTTGTATTCTGACCACCAGGACCTGAGCTTCTTGCAAACTTGACGCTTATTGACTCTATGATTGGAGATAAACAAGAGAAAAATTTTAATCAAATACCTTCAGGCCTGGCAATATAGATTATATGAATGCGGTATACCACGTCCAATAAACTGTAAGAAAAAAACAAAATTCCATAAAACGTTCTGCAAAAGAGTGGCCATATCTCGTAATGCGAGTAATCCTATTTCTTTTCCAACGTCGCTAAACGTAATTCGTGGCAAACTTAGATGAAAGTTAGCCTTAAGAGTAATTAGCAATTATTTTCCAATGCTTTTTTCTCGAACATCAAGCCTTAACCTGGTCATCCATTCTATAACGATTCGTCGCTGTGGAGAAATTTGTGCATTGATCGTTGAAAATTGAGCGTTAAATTACCAAGTTAAGATACATGAAATTGGAAATTATATCAAAAATGTAAACGATGAAATTATGATTAAAGATAACAAAAATGTAGAATAAAATATCACATAAATTCTAAAATACAAATCCTTCTAAGTATGCGTTATATAACAGTTTCCCTGCTGTAACTACATGTTACATTATTTGCCTTTTTGAAATATTACCTTTCAAAGTGTCTCGCTTAAAAAAATCTCCTATGATCGAAGATTGAGTCTTTCAACTATTTTACTTTGAAAAGAAACTTTTTACAATTACTTTCCATAAGCCAAATAACATGCTATTTTAGGGGAAGGACAATAAGACCTGGTTTACACGGGATCAATCTAGGCCGGAATCGATCTAGACCGGGAGCGATCCCAAACTGGTACGGATCAACCTACCGTTTACACGGCAATGCTTGGGATCGATCCGCAATCCGTGCAATTTTGGTTCGCTTTATAGAGCATCCTTCTAGGACCCTATAGGATCCTGTAGGATCCTGCAAGATGTTTCACTGAGGTGGCTTTAACATAGTGTTTTCATGAGTAATAATGGCCTCAGAAAGACATTTGATTGCAAGCTCTAGAATTCTTTTCGATGCTTACTGTACAATACATATTATCATCATTTTTTTGAAAAAGTGCGTTTTTGAACCAGCCAAAGTGGTTAACAGCTTTCAAAGCTCTGGTGGCCTGTTTAGCCTGTTTATAAAATCTCGCCAGGAGGATGGCTATCTAAAAAAATTCTGTATCTGTTGCCCCTGCCAACATCACCTCTGTCGTACTTGCACACACATTAACCAATCGACCACTATCATCAACCATAAACAATCCTTCCACATCGATCTCACTTCACCTTTTTTTCTTCCTGTGTGATTTACTGTATCGTCTGCACCAAATGCCAATCTCTTTATATCGGCGAAATGTTGCTAGCAAAATCCATCTGACAGAAGAACACGATGCATATAACAACATATCTCAACATTATAACTCCTCCAATCATTCTACTGCCGACATGTCCATCCTTGGGTAATTGCATGCATCGCAAGACACCACCAAACGGAAGACTTTGGAGAAACATTCAATTTTTAACCTAAAAACTCTTTATCCTAATGGTCTTAATAAACATTTTTATTTCCTTCAATAATTTATTTTTATATCTATTTCCTACTCTTTTCTTATTTTCCTTCCATTCCCCTATTCTGTTTTTTTAGGTTGCATCGCATCTCGAAATTCATTTCTATTTATCGATTCTCGCCTTCTCTTTGCTCGGCTCGTTTCTTTTCTAGCGACTTGATAACGAATATATACTCAAAACGTCGTGTTCTTAACAATCAACTATTATATTTTCATTCTGGTACTAAAGTTATTTGCTAACTATATTATTGTTATTCTGGATGAAGTACCACACGCAACATACATAATTAGATAAGATCATGGGCTCTAATTAAAGAGCCCTTAATGTTTTACATCATATACCAAGAAAAATGAAATTTGAATACAAGTACTGAAGTTTACCTTCTAAAGGGTTTGCTCTTCTGGAATAATATAATGGCTTAAATGATGTGGAGCCTTGAAACTAGAAGAAAAAATACACAATTCAATCACAAACAAAATGAATAGCTACCAAAAAGAAATTATGTGCTGCTCCATCACGACTCACCATAATTTCTTCTCACATAGAATAACACAACAATTAAGAGTAGTTAGTTCACAGAATAAAAATCTTGCTTACTACAAAACTGGCAAAAGGGGTGGGGTGGCAAAAAAAAGTGAATATACAAGCAAGGTTGGAAAGTGTATTTGTTATGAGGCATGGCAAGGTTAGAGGAGAGGGAGGAAAGATGAAGCTTTTTAATTTTAGTTTTGAAATAAGACAGGTTGTAAGAGTCTGGAGAGCAGGAAGAAGGTAGAGTGTTCATAAGTTTACAAGATCTTGGAAGGAAGGATGACTTGTGGGACAGATTTCATGAATTTATCAAAGAGACTTGGAAAGGATGAGCATTAGAAGATTACATGGAATAGCATACTTTTCTCAGCAAGCAGGGATCATAGCTCTGATCTCCTATGAGCAATGGCAGAGAAAAATCTGAAGAAAAAGAGGTATCAGCAACAGTGCAGATGAGAAAGAGGTTAAAAAGACTTTGTGAGGTTGCAGTTGTTGATGAGGTGAATGGCTTTAGATTGGATTTTGTCAAGAAGGCACAGGGAAGATTTAGAAGCACTGCCCCAAATATGAGCAGAGTACTCCAAAAAAGGATGAATTTGGGACTTATATATTGTTTAGAGTTGTGATGGTGAGAAGAATCCACTTGTTCAAGAAAGGAACCCAAGTTTTTTGAGGTGCTAAATGTTTGACAATAGAATCAATGGGAGATTTCCAGCTAAGGTTGGATGATACAGAAAGGCCTAGTTTTGAAAAAAAAGTAGAAATGTGTAAATCAGCACCATTCATGGAAACACAGGGAAAGTCAGAATTGGGATTGTGTGAAATTACATCCTGTATGGTTTTCGCCTGGTTAAACCTAACAAGATTGTTTTCACCCTACTTTTCAATTTTTGCTAGGTAATCAACGAGAGGTGGGACCAAATTATTTCTTTGCAGTAGAATTATGTTAAGAGTCAAAAGAGAAGGATGAGCTCAGATGGGTGTCATCAGCAAAAGAATGGATACTTGTAGCAGTGGAAATCAGTAGAGATCATTTATGAAAATGATGAATAAAATGGGAGATGTGACAAAACCCTGAGGAACATCAGCATAATATGTACAATAAATTGTAACATATCATTGGTTATTGTATCAACTATGCTTTGCCTCTGTATCAAGTGTTGTTGTTGATAAATTCTTGCTAGACCATGGGTAGTCAGGGAGGATGATAGTAGCTAAAAACTGCTGCTCCTTGACAGGTTCTCAGGTGTGCTCCTGACAATCTTGCAGTCTTGATATTGTGCAAATGAAATACTTTCATACAAGCAGGAGGCAGCGTCTATATTCTCATTTATGTAAAACATCGATTTTACTTTTATGAGTAAAGATTTTTACAGTTTAAGTTTTTTCTATTACATTCAACTCAATTAGTATATCAAGAAAAATGTTTAGAATCTTTTTGACATTTCATGAAACATTTTAATTTGTCTTCTCAAGGTACAGTAAGATATTATAACCGACGTTGTGATTGAAGTTGGAGTTCGTGAATAAAGGTTGCAACAAATGCTAACGCTCTGGCCTATTCTAAGATGCATGGAACTTACCACAAAACCCAGCTTTGGCAAGTCTAACTTTGGATGCACAAAGCTGAAAAACCGACGAGTCTGTTTCTGTTTAAAACCTTTTAGCGTTCTTGAATTCCTTGACATTGGGTTGTTTACATCGTTGGCGTTGCATTTTGAGCAGAGCGGCGTGAAGGAGGAGGGTCTGGCGAACTGACCTGTGTGATGTTGAATAGCTGTGTGAAAACTTCGAACATTTTTCGATCTTATTTGACTTATTACCTGCCTAGTTACTATTAATACAAACTGTTTGCAAGCTGTGTCTATCATTTTAAAACCAACAATTTCTCTTAAAAGCACAGAATGCAGATTGTTAAAAGATTGTTGATGGAAGCCATTTGTTTGTGGCCTCGCATTTCTTGCGTAGAACAGAGGTCAACATCAACAAACCACTGCAACAAACGTGCGAAACAAAATGGCCTCTAGATGGCGAACATGGGATAAAGATTATGCACTTGATATTTTGAATGACCCGCAACCACTAAATGAAACTGTTGAGCGAGCTGTGGTGACATTTGGAAGAGGGAAAATAAATATCAACTTATCTGAATGCTCTTTACCAGTTGTTGAGCCAGTGTCAATAGCCGGAAACTTAACGTCAGTCTCGACTCTGTTGACTTCAACAAATATCCATGGAAAATATATAGGTCTCGGTCGAGGGAGGGGAAGAAGATCCAAGTTTATTGAAGCACAAGGCTCATTTTCCCAGGATTTTCCAGGAGAAAGACCACGTTTTCCTGGGGCTGCTGGTGTAGGTACTGGTTTTTGTAGGACGTTTCCAGCCCAGATTGGAAAGTTTGCAAATTGTACACCGAAGTGAAATTTGAGAAAAAATATGTGCACTTATTTAAAAGTTTATTGCACCTTCGAGGAATATAAAGTGGACTATACTAGATACATGTCTGCTGCTTTTTGTTAAACGTTCTTACCTTCATATCCGGTTTACAGTTTTATTCTTCTTTTATTTTATCATTTTATCAGCAGCAAGTTGTTGTTGTTCATTACATTGTTGACATGGTTGTTCATTACATTAAAACTTGACATTTCTTTCAAATTTAATCAAATTCCTCATAGCTTGATCAATTGCACAAAGACTGTGCATCCGATATCACAAAAATTTGCTAATTGGCACACAGATCTTAAACTACCACAATGTAGTTTAACAATCAATGTCAAGTTGAAGTCAAAACAAATTTTCAAATGGAAACATCTCAAGTGTGCAGTTTACTGAGAATAGCAAACTGCATGTCAAGTGTAATGTTACAATATACTGTGATGTTCAATGTCAAGACTATTTCAAGTACCAATTCAGAAAATTAGAGCTGCAAATTATAAAAGTTTCTTAGCCTTTTTCAATTTGGGTAGGGTTGTTTCTTAACTATTGAAAAATTGAGTGACTGTTTCTGATTCTTATAAAAAAATGAGTGTACACACCCAAAGTTATTATGTGCACACAACAAACTTTCCAATCTTGGTCTCCAATTTATAACTGAGCTTCTTCTATTTTAATGTCATTTTAACTTAAAAGTGAATACTGCGCATTGCTTAGCATTTTGACAAATAAATTAATGAATAAAAAATAATATTGTATTAGCTGAGTATATGTGAAAATGGAAAGACCATAAAAACCAGAATGTTAGTATGATATATAAT